GCGGCTGTACGGTTAACTTAAACTCTGGACGATTCCATTTTCGAATTGGTCCCTTAGCAATCCAATTGCAGGAATGTGGGACATAGGCCCAACGTTGGGAAACACTGATTTAAACTTTTCACGCGCCAAGACGAGATGGGTATTCCTAAAACACTACTTGCAAGAACAAGAATGAAACTATAAACTTGAATGTTATGATGATGGAATAACCGTGAAAGGCTACGGAGGATTAACGATGACGATTTTAGACTCTGATACCATAAACATCATCTTTTCTAAAAAGCATTGTACACGACTACAAAAATGCACAGTCTGCAACTCTAAATTACGAAATAAAAAATATACATATATTTAAAACTCGAATGTGGCAAATAATTGCACTTTTTCAGCATACCCGGCACTAAAGAAGGATTTCTAAAATGCTGCGATTCGTCACATATAACGCACAATAACGGTATTGTCTGGTTGTCTGAAAAATTGCGTAATCCGAACATGGAAATTGAAAATTTGTCACAGCCATTACAAAATGCCTGAGAAATACGTTATGCAGAGCTGTTAAGCCGTTGGAGAACGCATAAAAAATAACTGAATCGACAATGGAGAGAAACACGGCGGGTAGCACTTAACCCGTTGCGTGTGTGCAACATTCCCTTTCATATAAATGGTAAATTATGTATAATCTCTTATATGTGACTCATATCATGTGATGCAGTTGATCTTACAATAATATCTAAAAGACAAAAACAATCATAAATCGACATAATATTAGAAACTTCCAAAAGTTAATAGAAGACAAGCAGAGTTTTCATATTTCACAAACGTTTTCGAAGAATAACACGAATCGTTGCCCATTATACTTATTTGGTCCTATTTTCTCTACTGAAAAAGTATATGGAATAGATTTGGTCGATTCGTGTCAATGCATAGTGGGGAGAGAACAAGAGAAAAAGGAAACGTTCTTCGACAAATTATTTCAAAGTTTATGCGAATTTCGTTGTAGTTTAGAGGCTGTCCATAAATTACGTAAGGTATTTTGGGGTGGGTAGGGGTCAAGGATTTCTTACTCGGGGGTAGGGGGTAATAGATCCCGTCTTACGTAATATTCTTAGTTTTATTTTTTCATCTCGTTGAGTGGTGGCGTTTTGAATTTGGCTTTAATTTGGTGGTTTCTATTAAGAACGCTCGTTTTCTCGTGTGACATGAGAAAGTAATAACGCTAGCAGATTCACGTTCTACACATTTTTCGTCATGAAAGAAAGGCCGTGTGGTGGTTTTTTTTCTCTTGTTTTTTATTAGAAAAACTGCACCATTTCTATGGGTGTATAACACTAGGAATACATAAACCAAAATACACGATACAAAGTAAACATAAAATTAGTATTCATCTTTTAGTGAAAACTAAAGTGTAAAACTAGGAATTATAAATTATAAATAGCCTTTACTTCCATATTTTTTTAGCATAATTGTACAAACCATCAAACAGTGGTTTCTGAACAAGCTCATCGAGTGGACGTGGCCGCCTGAAACCAAGCTTAAAGATTTCTAATGTCAGAAAAAGTTTATCTTCATCGTAAATTGGACAATGATAGATCGTATGGTCGACGGTGTCTAGGTTTTCTGTAGAGCAAAAGCAAGAAACAGTTTCTGCCCTTTATACATCGCCAGGTAGCTTCTAAAATTACCATGCCCAGTAAGTAGTTGAGCAGTAGCAAACGTTGAATCTCTAAGTGTGATGAGAACTTACATTCAACACTAGGAAAATAGTCTTGTCATTCTACCAGTTTTACTACTAAACTATTTTTATCGATTCCACTTTTGCATAGCGTTGTCATGAATATAATTTTTAAGGCTGCTACGTGAGAGAGGAATGCGAGCGTAATCCAAATCAGTATCCTTTGCAGCTTACAGCCACAAAGTCGGCGTTTTCATTTCCTAGTTTTCCAGGAACAAATATAAAAGTTATCTTATTTACAAGATTTTTAATACGGTGCTGGATATATGTGATTTTATTGCTATTGCAATTGGGATCTAATAGAGCTTTTAGGACGGACTGAAAATCACTGTAAATGTTGATAGACAGAGTTTTGTTTGGTAGTGAAGCGGCCCACTGAACAGCTTGGTAGTCAGCATCTGCTTCAACTTGATAAATGGAGGTATGTGGAAAAATATCTGTACCTTCTAACATATTTTTGGCAAAATATGTCAGTTTGGAGGAAGATACAGATACTTAAGCCGACAAGAAGGAGCATTTGGACCCATTTGTGTAGATTTTAATGTTTGCATGGTTATCCATGGAGGAAGCAGATGACACCAAATAACCTTGTTTACAGGATGCTGATCAGAGATAGTAGAGTAATTGCAATGTGGTAGCATTTGAACAGCCATAGATAAGAATAGAGACCGTTGTTGAGCCTTGACGTCTGTGGTTCTGATGTAGTCGTTTAGAACCTTTTCTACAATACATACTGACAGAGGAAAAAGCTCCGCTAGTTCAAAGAGGCATTAGTAAAAACAGTTCTGCAGCACTTTGAACTTCTGATGACAAACTGGCTTTGAAGAGAGAGTAGTTTATTTGCTACTGAATTTTTACTAGTTATATGACCACAGCCAGAGGCCGCGTAAAATAGCATTGGTTGTATTGCCCCATTATTTAGAGTTTTATAAGCTTTACTGTATAGTCTCCAGGTGTACCTAGCACATTTTAGCAGCGTGTAGTTTATTTTCTTGGCCTTAGCCAAGATATAATCAATATGGCAACGAAATACAGTTTCTCTCTATTCTCTCTTGTTTTATTTTGTATCACGTTTCTGTTTACACGTGCACTAGCTAGTCCATCTGGCAAAGTTTTTTCGTCTTTTGCGAAAATTAAAAATATTAGAGAGGTTGAGGCAGACGTTTTAAACGTGTAAACGTGTAGGTCGGACGTTCGGCACCGCTTTCCCGTAAGCCTAAAAGTTTGACAATGGTGTTTGGATAGTCGGTAGAATCACGCTCGACATTCCAAACACTATCGTCAAACTTCTAGGCTTACGGGAAAGCGGCACCGAACGTCCGACCTACACGTTTACACGTTTAAAACGTCTGCCTCGACCTCTCTAATATAAAAATAAATGTTATGACGTTGATTAATGAAAATAATAATAAGATTGTTAATAATTAAAAAATAAAGTTCTTAAAATAAATTGTTCATTCATTAAATTTTTATATTTTTAAATTTATTCACATAAAGTCTTTTATAAATAATAGTACATATTAATTAACTAATTTATAATTATATATTTTGTATCTAAGGTTTTTTGAGTTTCATAAAATAATTTTTTTGTTAAAGTCTTTCTATAAAATCATGTCAAAATATTACATAAGATGGGGAAGGGGAAGGGGGATTAAAGAAAATATTACGGTTTCTTACACAGGGGTTGGTGGGGTCTAGAATGGCCGAAATCGCCCTTACGTAATTTATGACGGACCCTTACTTTGGAGAGAATACTGTTTATTAGAGGCTACGCTTCTTCAAAATTATATAAAACAGTTGAAAATTTCACTAATGATAAGCCAAAAGCTTTAAATATATATATATAATTTGAATTAAAAAGGTAGACAGTATATTTCTCAATACAAAAATATATATTTATGCTTGTTTTAATTTACTTAATTAAAATATATGCTTTCCGCCCCAAATAAGCAATGGGTTGCCCCTGTACTTTATACTTTTTCTTTGACAATAGATCATGTTGGTCATCTATCTAATTCTTTACATTTTCTTAAAGTACTAACTTTACTCTTTAATTTTGTTCCCATTCTCATAGAAAAGAGAAACTGACATATCGTTAATCTATAAATAGAATAAACACAGAATTGACATTACTTTACCGTATTGTAAAATTAAACATTTACAATAAATATAAAGAGAAATGTAATTATTATAGTTTGTGTGTTATTAATTTATCAATAAAAATTAGTGTATAAAATTAGTCACAAATTTCTCTTTCATGATATCTATTTTGCATTTGAAATAAGTTTAACTGGGGTAGAATCAGACAAAATGCTCTATTTTGGACTTTATTCTTTTATTTACCATCAAAACCGAAAAATGTCATTTACAGTAAAAAGCACAATTTGGTTCTGTCTTTGAGTAGGAACATTTTTGTTTAGATTAGTATGCAACTTTTAACCAAGAACATTTTGTAAACGTTCCAACTGTCTGGTGGCACCCCAGGGTTGAGGTACCATCAGTCAGTGGGATCTCCAAGGGCAGTCTGATGTGTTTGACGATCGGTCAAAAGACTGGCCCTCCGAGAATTTAGTTATTTATTTTTATTCCGGAATGATTATGGGCGATGTGGCATGGAGAACTTTTGCCAGCCCCGTACAACAATATAATAAATAGAAATTATTTTAGTAAAAGAAACGAATTTTACAATTTTGGACCCGGATAACCTTGAAATGTCGAGAAGTGCCAAAAAATTTGCTGGATTTTCTGTATTTACGGTGGGTGTATGGTGTTGGTGTGTATACGTGGATGCGTTTGAATGTTTACCGAGAACACGGGTACTATCAAACGTTTTTTCGGCATAAAAAGACATATATCTAACTAACATTAAACGATTTAAGTCTAATCTTTCTCTTTATACACGCGAAATATTGGAGATGGAACTAAAAATAATTTTGTTAATGTCGATAGACGTTATTTATTTATTAAAAGGTGTTTTTTTAACTATCATAATTTGTGTTAGGAGTTCTGGCTTCTGGTTTTAACACTTCTATACTCCCGGGCTCCATATAAGCTCTCGACAGCGCTGCCAATACTTGACACTAAATTTCTTTTTATGGATCTAATGAAAACACTATTGTTATAATTTAAATTTTGTCTGATGTAGAATCATGCTACACACTCGCAATAAAATATAAAACACACTTTTTAAAATAATGGAATATTATCATACACTTCAGAGAATAATATTTAAAATAACTACTTTTAATATATCTACACATTTCCCAAAAGTCACTTAACTGAGATATATCATTTACAGTTGTAACTTCTATAAAATCACTGAACACTACTCATGTGTTTGCATCCCACCAACGAGTTTGTCACGTAAATTTTTCCATGTTTTCTTTAGGCGTTTCACAAATAGGGGCCAGTTTCTTACGAAAGTTTACTCGTGGGCCACTTCAGCCGTATGTTGTGTTGCCTACAATCGTATTCATTTTCTCTTGGATATTGAATAAATATGTACTTTTATAAGTTGCGAACCTACAACATTTATTTTAATAAAGAAGAATTTATATATTCGTTTGACATTGTGACGTACGAAAATGAAAACACAGGCTTATCTAACTCAGTTCCTGATTTCTTTAAAATATTCATTTTGTTTCCGTAACGGATATAAACAATTATTGCAGTTATCAATAACAATACTAAAAGTACAAAAATTACAATGATTACGACAATCTTCCATGCAAGAAAGGTGCCTTTCACACTTACACATATATCAGAAGAGGCAATTTGAGTAAATAAAAATGTATCAGAAGCTATCAGACAAGAAACATTCTCGAAATCTATTACTTTTTCTCTATTCCTAACGAGCCATTCCTTAGTAAACAGCGAGTCACAGCCGCAAGTCCAGTTGTTGCCTGCCAGAAAAATCTTAAAATCATTGGCATCATCGATGTGTTTCATCAATAATGGAGGCAAGTGAGATAAGCTATTTCCAGCCAAACCTAGTAAAATAATATTTGGAGGAAAATTATTGAAATATTTTAAAATATTATGATTCAAATACACGTGAGTGACATTCTTCCATGTTAGTGATTCGAAGCCATAGATGGTGCTAATGTTATTAAAGCTCAAATCCACTATTGTAGAACCTTCAATAAGGACTTCTGGCATGGCGTTTAAGTGTTTTCCAGAACAGTTTATTACTATTCCTTCGTAGTCCAAGTAACATTCGCAGTCAACGGGGCATTTTTCTTTAATAGGACACGTGTACCACAAGGGAAAAAGTGTTCTGTTCTCTCCAAAACATGTTAAATTTTTAATATCTGGAAACATCTTCAACGATATCTCGTTGTACATCAGAAAGTGTACAAACTGGCGAAGTTCGCAATCACACGTGATATTGTTATCTCGTATATCATATAGAGGGGTGTTTAGCCCGTATTTATGTGTATCCAGATGAATAGTCCTTATATTATTCTGCGATAAGTTAATCTTCATAGTGTTTCGAGTAAAAACTGGCAATGTCACTGATTGCAATTCGTTTTGTGATAAATCTACGAAATCAAAACTGTTCTTTGACCAGTTCAGGTGTGGCCAAAATCGAAGTCCTGTGTTTTTGAGTATTAACTGGTTTACATTTGTAATGATACCAAGACAATGTTCAGAAGTAACAGCACTGAAGTTGTTAAAAGACAAGTCCAGTGCCTTTAAATTGATAAAGGGATGAAAAACGTTACCAGGCATACAAGTGATGAAGTTATGTGATAAATCCAAACGTTGAAGCGATGATAATTTGTAAAAAATATCACTAGAAATATTCCTCAAACTATTTCTCGATAGCTCTAGCACTTCCAATTGAGGAAGATCGTGGAAGAAATTTGCAGGAATCCTTGTTATTCTATTTCCTCCAACATAAAATGATTTAAGATTTTTGTTATTTTTAAATAAATTTGAAGGTAGATCTTGAAGTTTATTCTTCTGTAAAATAACTGATGTTAAATTTCTTGCATCAGAAAATAAATCTTCTTCGAGGGAAGTTAATGAACAGTTTAGAGCGTTGAAGAATCTTAACTCGTGTAGTCCCTTAAAAATTCCAGAAGGAATTCGTGTTATATTGTTATGGCATATGCAAAAGTAATTCATTTTTGGACAGAAAGCAAATAAACTTTCAGGTAATCGAGTTAATTTATTCTTATCAACGTAAAGACCTTTCAGATTTGGAATGTAACGTAAGAGAAGTTTAGGTAAGTAGACAACTTGGTTACCTGTCAGATCCAAATATTGCAAATTCGAAAGATTTTGAAATTGTGAAGGCAGAAGTTGAGAAATTAAATTATAACTTAAATCAAGACTTTTCAGGTTATAAAGGCCTTGAAATAGATTTCCAGGTAAACGTTCCAAGACACCGTTCTTCATACTTAACACAGCAAGATTTGTTAAGTGTTGAAAAGGTGTTTGCAAGATACTTGTGAAGTTATGATCCACGATTTCTAGAGATACTAAAGAAGGAAGATTTTCGAATGTAATATTTAATAAATCAGTTCTTAGACCAGTAAGTTTTATCACTTTCACTGAAGGAATATTCCTAAATTTTGCACTATCGAAATTTTTTACGTTGGTGGTGTAGATAATGAATACGTCATAGACTTCAACACCCGAAACGAATCTACCTACGTCAAAATCTGACAAATAGCAATCCTTAATATCCACATACCTCACATTTTTAGCCTCCAGACAGTGCACTAATGTAGGGTCGATCGGTTCGTTTGCACAGCTTAACGAAAAAAATTTGTTAATGATATGAGCGGTGGACATTGCCTTTGTTCTATAACATCTTGCTTCTGTATCCGTGTGGTTTTTGGGTAAATTACACGAATATTTATTCCATTTTTTTAAAATTTCTTCACAAGTGTATGCTACTGCGAACAATAATCCTAAAATAGGTAGAAATTTCATCCTGCACATATCACAGCTTGTGTGAACGGGAGTGTTAAAAACGAAAGTATAATCAACATCATTTCCTTCCTTATGAAAAAAGAGGATAAAGATGTTGCATCACAATTAATGACTCATTAATTAGAATATAATTTTTTTCTTTCTGGGTAGAATAGTAAACAGTGTAATTTCGTTAAATTTAAGTAATTAATTATTTATAATTTGCTGATATGTTATGTAAATTTACGTTTAATAATTTAAATGTTCATGTCGAGTAAGGCAGAATTTAAAAGAAGGGTTTAGAAAATTTGAATTCGCATCCAGTTCGTGTTATATTGTTATGGAATTCGTGTTATATTGTTAGAAAATTTGAATTCGCACCCATGCTTTATTTCGTATTGAAATATAATATATGTATTTATAATGTACTCAGAACAATGTAGAATAGGATCGAGCAGGATAATTTCGTCCGAATATAGAACATAGTACGGAATTAATATAAAGTGTTTTATATAAAAATATGACAATAAAGTGATTGAAAATGTATTATATTGATCCAAGTCTTTTTTTGATATGTTTTTATTGTTTCTTCCAAAGAGCAAAACACAATATTTCGATTTGTTGCCTGCATTTAACCTCTTTTAACTATTTGATATACAGTATTCGAAGTAGTTTCGTTAATTGTCTAAGTATTTCTGTGAAAATAATTCTATATGTAGTTATAAATTAGAGACGGAAATAATATTAAATCTTAGAATTTAACCAAGTGCAAATTTCCACTTATATCATCGTTTATCGCAATCGTCTTCCTTTAGCATTTAAATTGTGCAATACAGCTATTAAAACTTTACAGCATAAGCAATAGAATTCAAACTTTTACAATTCATTGTATACAAAATAATACAACTTAACTTGATTATAAATTGTGAGGTAAGCGGAGAGCATAGGGGCTGTTCCCTAAATGCCACTTAATCGGCACAGATTGTTAAAACCCGACCTCTCTGTCATCGAATGGCAATAGGAGGGCAAATGTCGAGTGGGGAGTGCGTGATCAAGTCGAGAGGTGTCCGTGTTTCGGAGTGACAGGAGATAGGTTTAACATAACAAAATAAAAGTTTATTAACTATAACTAACCTTATGATATACAGATTGCTTTGCGGTTAAATTCTATTGACTATTACAAAAGGACAGCGACTAATTTATAAGTTCTGTCGCCTGCCTAATTTCTATTTTGAGAAAAAGTTTACAAAGTTTCTAGCTTAACATACATAATATCTCTCAGTCGTAATGGAGAGTTGTAGGCGACGATCGTCGGTTGCATCCCGGAAGAGCAGGAGCCGCTGAAATGTCTTCCAACCTGTGTCTTCTCCTTTGGCTGGATCAAGTCCGTTGAATGGAGGTCAGGAAGACGAATTGGGCACTATCACTAATTATAACTTCCACTTCGATCGCCTCCACCTTCTGGTAGCTCTCGCTTTTATCCTATTGTCGTGGGAAAGAGATCAAATGTTGACGATGACGAAACATTTTTGACAGCTAAGTGTCAACTTTCCCATCTGATTGTGACAGAAGCAGTAAGAACTAATCGACGTTAATAAGTAACATTTTTATTTTAATATTACATGCAATAATTAAAAAATAAATTAAAACTTAATTAATATAAATTACATTTTCAATGCTTTGTTCCGTCATAATACTCATCACTACATTCGCAACGTTTTCGATAAAATTCCGCATCCTCAAGAGGAAATTTCGCCGATATTTCTAATAAAAAATGTTTTTTATTCGCTAATGATTAAGCAGTTTTAATTCGATTAATTTAAATTAATATTTAATTATGTCAATTTAATAAATTTTAATTTAACCTGCCATTATTCTATAACAATTTTTAATTGATTCGTTCTTGTAAGATAAATTTTAATTTGCAGATATTATTATTTTTTACCTTTTATACATTATTTACAAAGTGAAATGATTTATTTCATTTTCATTTAGCTAAAATTTTTACTTAATTTTTATCGCTATACTGTTTTTAACTCGTTTGATAACGATTTCCTCTTCCTGCAACTGTTTATCAATTAAAAATATTGTTTTATTTTATATTAATTCTTTTATAATTTATAAATTTAAAGTTAATATATAATTTCTTTTTTAAATACAGATTGATTAGAGGAGTTAACGCAACAATTGGGCAATTCTAAATCGGATTTGACTTCTGAGAGCGCTTACTATGAGAAGCCAGCTCGTATTTAGACTCTAAACAGGTGAAAAGCTCTGAACACCCCTATACTGTGAGGCACAAACCCACCACCAATTGCCAGTGTTTATTCAAATTGTGGCTTAGTAGTAAACCACAGAAACCACTAAGCCACAATTTGAATAAACACTGGCAATTGGTGGTGGGTTTGTGTCTGACGTATTGTACATTAATTAATTGATTAATTCAATTATCTTCATGAAAAAATATTTTACTAAAAAGAATACTTTCAAGAAATAATTCTTGTAATGTTTGTCGAAAATTTCTGAAATTTTGCAAGGAGGTTTGAGTTTTAAGTACATTGATACTGTTGAATTTTGGTGGTTAATAAAGGTCGATGCAGTGAGGATATAGAGGGGTGTCGTGTGTACTATCTCGAGTAGGGTCAGACATAATGGAGATTTTACTTGTTATTAGCGTTTAGAATTTTTTATAAAACCCATCCTTACCTTCAAAAATTGAGCTATTTGCCATTTTATAATAAATAAAACTATAAAAAAATTATTTAATAAAATATCATAATAAATATCGGCACCGAAATGTTTTTATAAAAGTGAAGCAACACGTTGCTGTATTTTTTTAGAGAATCATTCAGTCCCAAGAGTCAGGATAAAACGCGTGGCTCGTTGGATGCGGAAGAGGAGGATCACCTACCGGTAGTTGATCCTCCTCTTCCGCTTCTTTCGCATCCATCGAGTCACGCGCATATTTTAAGAGTTTAATTTTATTGCTTATTATTGTTATATATGTTGTATATCCGCTTCTATATAAACCACTTGAAATGTGACCTAAAAATTGTTTATCACGGTTCCACTTCTTTATGTTGCTATATAATCTATACCTAAACTATAACTTGTTATATAATATTATAAAACAAATCTGTACTAGTGAATATAGATTGATAAACAATGACTTTTATGGAAGAAGTGACAGTACTTTGTTTTTTGCTTATGCAGTATTTTCTGCTAGTATGGAAAACAACCATAACAACGCAAAGTGTTGAAATGCTGAATATGCGAGAATTTTGAATTTATGTCGATAATTTTGATAGATTTATGATATTTTCTTTGCTATTTTCGAAAATATCGCGTCGAAAACAAATACAGGAAATTATACATAATAGATTCTACTGATTCTAAACAAGTATGCAAGATTTATGCTATAAGTAATAGATATGTATATAACCATGGTGCGGTTTACTTTATATTACTTTTAAAAAATCAATTTTCAAAAAATATTTCCTCAAAATTGATGAAAAACTTTATGGGTTAATTGTACATAAATAACCCCTGTTTTTTTTGCCTGGACCGCATTTAATCAGAGACAAAGCTTTTATTCGTATTCTTTATATATTTTCTATGCATTTCGGATGCAATATTTTCTTGTAATTTGCACCCCTTTTCAGGTTTTTTGCATTTCTGTTTTAAGTTTTAGATCGACATCTGCCCAGTGTTATATAACATCAACACTGGGCAGATGTCGATCTAAAACCTTTGTATTTCACAGTTTTTGTTTCACAATAAAGTCGTGCCAGTCATATATTAACTGCTTTCAGGGGGAAATCTTCGAATTGAAATAACGTAATTTTCGGTTTGCTTTTTGAAGGTCTTTTATGGTAAATCGAAACCTCTGCCCTCACGCTTTCAAATTCTCGTCTCGGTTTTCATATATCTAACTATATTCTCGAGAAGTAGGAAAGACAAACGGACGGACTGACGACCGAGGGCATTCATCCAGTTTGCATATAGGAAATCCTGCTAGAACTTACCCAATTGGCAGATCACCCATGTGTTCCGTTTCCTTACTCCGCAATCCACTACACAAATCTTAATGCTGACATTTTAATGTTTTGTGAATAAAGTTACATTTCATTTTTGTATGTATGGAAGCTTTTGAGACACGCTGTAGTTATTTACAGTAAATTAGTGTAGGTTTTTTAAATCTTATTTTCTACAGGTTTGCTGCTGTAATGGCTAAAAAAAAATCCACACGAGTTTTTACTTATCTTTGACAAATACGAATAGATTAAAACGGGTCTACTAGATAATTCATACAAAATTAATTGTAAAGTCGCTCAATCTTAAATTCGTAGAAAACTTAGCATTTGTAAACAGTGAACAAATTACTACTTAGAAAGCTTCTATTAATTAAATTTTTATATGAAAACAAAATACTTTCGGTAATTAATTTTAAAAAATTTAGATTTCTACCTGTATTAAAAATTAAAAATTTTTCACACTAGTACGTTAGAATTCAGTACAATTATAAACGGTGTACAAACGAACTGCAAAAAAATACATACATTCTAAAAGTTTTCTCCGTGTATTGGATTACGTATATATATCTCTACGTGCAATTTATACTTTTAAAGTCGTAACAGATCTTCTGCGGACAAGTATGGATAAAATTACCGAACACTGGTAGTTAGTTGGTCGTTGGTTGACACCACCAACGAGCTGGACCCTGGGGTTTTCCACGTTTTCTTTACGTTTTTAACACCTAAATACAGGCCAGATTCTTAAGAAATTTCTTCTCGGAGATCGGTCACGTGTCGCACTGCCGTAAACAATTAAATCACACCGTAACACATTAGTTTTTTCGGTATTCTCCGTATACAGTGCGGCTCGATCAAACACTCACAGTATTAATTTATTTTAATTAATTATACCAAATTTACTTTAAAAATAGAATCTTATAAAACCCGAGAACGTTATGCAGCTAGATTTTTGAAATTTAAATCTCTCTTAAAAAAAAAAAAATATTTTGATATAATATTCAAAGGGAAATCTAAAATGGCAAATAATATTTAAATTTCTTTTGTTACTCGAGAAAT